TCTTTGTTTGTTAGTACAAGGTCCAGCAGCACACCTCTCCTTGTTGGCGTCTCCACCACCTGGGTCAAGAAATTATCCTCGATGCTCTGCAGGGAACCTCTTTGACTGTTTGTGCCTAGCTGTGCTCTCTTCCCAGCTCATGTCAGGGTGGTGGAAGTCCCCCATGAGAACCAGGGCCTGTGATCGTGAGGCTACTTCCAGCTGTCTGTAGAAGGCCTCATCTACTTCCTCTTCCTGATCAGGTGGCCTGTAGCAAACCCCCACAACAGTGTCACCCATGTTACCCTGCCCTTTAATCCTTACCCATAGGCTCTCAACTTGCTCTTCATCCACCCCGAGGCACAGCTCCATGTGTTCTAGTTGCTCCCTCACATAAAGAGCAACTCCACCACCTTGCCTTCTTGACCTGTCTTTCCTAAAAAGCATGTAGCCATCCATGACAGCATTCCAGGTATGCAACCTATCCCACCATGTCTCTGTAATTGCAATGAGATCATGGCCCTGTGACCGCACACAGATCTCTTAATTCTTCCTGCTTATTCCCCATGCTGCGCGCATTGCTATACAGGCATTTCAGAGAGGCTATTGAGCATGCAGGTTTCCCAGGAGGCATGCAGGAGGGTCCTCCATAGTCATGCCCCTTTAATGTTGTGTATTTGTTACAGATTAAAGGAATTTCTATAGGCCTAGAAGCACCATCTTTCTTTTTAGGATAATATCCTTTTCCACTGATGCTTCTTGGTCCATTCTGTTATGATACCCATGGCTTGTTTCTTCCTTTCTCTCTCTCTTTCTCCAGGTAATTGTGGAAAAAGCACCAAAAGCCAGAGTACCTGACCTAGATAAAAGGAAGTATCTTGTGCCTTCCGACCTCACAGGTAAGATAATCTACCTCCTTTTGTCCTGATCTTCAGTGAGAAGGTCTTTGAAGTTCTTTCTACTCCTATGATCAGCATCAAGAAAATTACCAAACAGGCTGAGCATCTTATCATTACCCCAGTTTATCCAGCCATACTTATATGTGTGTATCTTACAGCATGGATTGTGACATGCAGAATTCTCTGAGGTCTTTTGTGGTATCCCAGTGACTTGACTAATGTCCATGTGTCACTGCTGACTTCTACTTATGATGGAAATGACTGAAGTGTGTATCATGGACAGTAACATAATAAACAGTTAATGATGACTTAGCTGCAGCTCAGGTTGCCAGAGGCTGTATCCTTGTTGCAGGAAGAGGCAAGTTCTTAAAACAGTCCCACTGTTTTCCACTGCCAGAATTGGAGTCATGGCCACAAAGTTCCTTTTCCAAATGGTTATGGCTGTTTTGTGTGTGGTTATGTTTATTTTCATTTGAGGTATGAATCAGTTAAAGGAACAGAATTTTTTTCTTGCAGTCTGTAATTGATTGTGGAACATCTTGTGCAACAAAGCTCAAGCAAATAGACAGTAAGGATTAAATTTGTTTTCAGGAATGATATGACCATTTACACTGAGGCAAAATTCTATATGGTACCTTTGGTATATAAGATTTAAAGATTAAGCTCATTAGGGATCTTCCCACCAGTCCCTGCTATAGAGCATTTAATACCATAATAGATGGAGTGTGGATTTAGAGGGTATAGCGGTCAGTGGCATTATGGGTAAACCTGCCCTGGCCAAACACTTAACAGGTCTGAGTGGGTCAGCTGCTAATGTGGTGACTATCATGAAGTTCCTTCTTTCTTTATTGCATTTTTCTTCCCCCCCCCCCAACTTTTTACAAACAGCATGTAGTTTCCCCCACTTCTTTCCCAAAAGGAAACAACCATGCTTAGTTGCTAAACAAAACCCACGATCTTTTTGCATTTAAAGCATTACCCTCTGTTTCTCTTCAGTTGGCCAATTCTACTTCTTAATCCGAAAGCGGATCCATCTGAGGCCGGAGGATGCTCTGTTCTTCTTTGTCAATAATACCATCCCTCCCACCAGCGCTACCATGGGACAGCTGTATGAGGTAAGCCTGGCCCATCTCTTTCTCCTTTTGGTGGAGTGTCCGTAAGAATATATATCCTCACTGAAGTGTCACTGAGCACTGCTTAAGTGGCAGTGGGTGAAGCTTGGCAAGAGGTGCCTAAACATGGACCCCTTACCCTTGGCTATATTCCCTCACCTGTTTGGGAAAATTCTATGTTGTGGTTATAAAGAGGAGCCTGTGCAGCCTAATTATTTTAATTGTTTGCTAGTGGAAAGGGTTGTTGTGTTAGGTGGTGAATAGTTGCCTCAACAGTGACATTTTGGTCCTACTACTTCTCCAAAGTATTGCCATACACCACCTGTCTGTATGGCAGAGGAGAGAGTGTGGCTGGGGAAAAAGAAGATGAACAAACTTATGTATCAGCTTTGCTGTTTATACAACAGAGATTTCCTCTTAGCCAGGATAAGAGCACAGTATCACTGGACAACAAACTGTCTACAAGTGCTTTTTCAGGGAATGCTTATTCTTTGTTTTCTATTAGTTTTTTGTAACTTGTACTGTATATGCAAGGACCTCTTAGGACACTGTGAACAGTCTCTCACTATTTCTTCTGAGAAGTACTATTTGATCAACTTTGAAGGCATATTCTATGGTCATCAGATGAACATTTCTTAATTATACTGGTGTTATATCATGGCTAGTTTGCAGCCTGGGTTGATTTCAATCAAAAACTTCCCTTCTGCTGTGCTAGTGTGTTTAATAAGAGACTGGTATGGTGCTGGGAACCCTATCTGGCCCACCACTTTTTGACAATAACTGCACAATGTGTATGTAGGCTAATGAAAACAATATAAAATTAACACACACAGGCACTTTTGCAAATCTGGGCACATCAGAGGAAGGTGTATCTAACTGTCCAGAGCTGAGATCTGGGCTCCGTTCCTAGCATTCTGCAGACTTTTTGTGTTAATGTAATCTTTTAACATCTCTGCTTTGTAGACCATCTGTAAAACAGGGCTGGAAATACAACCACCTGTCAAGGTGTTCTGAAAAATAGCGGATAAAAGTGTTTGTCAAGTACAGAAGTATCCAAAGAGAGTTTTTGACTTGTTAAAGTCTTCCAAGTGTCTCCTCCCAGTCTTAAGGCTATATCAGTGCTGAGATTTTGCTGCACAGCCTGCAACAAACAGAGCTGTCTCTGTTGTTCCACAATGCTTGCACGTTTCTAGCACACTCTGGCTATGGCTGTACTAGTGAATTCAGGGTGCCTCAAAATGTGACATTCTTCAATTTAGTAGTAGAGTTATGGCCAGGGAGAGAGAGGGTTGCTCTGTGCTCAGCCAGCTAAAGGGCCTTACGGTATAAGAAAGCAAAGCCTTCCATGGAGAGAAAGAAACAGGGAAAGAGATGTTACGCCCTCTTGCTGTTACAGTTATGTCTTGTTTGGGCATTTTCACATGTGATGAGTTATAGGGCTTTGGTTTGTTACTTTCTCCCTCTCTCTCCTCTCAGGATAACCATGAGGAGGACTTTTTTCTCTATGTGGCCTACAGTGATGAGAGCGTCTATGGCAAGTGAGCACCAGCCACCAGTCATGCCAGCAAGATGGACAGATGGAACTGATTTTGGCGGGGGGGGGTATGTTGGAGAGGAGGAAGGAGAATGCCTGAGAAGAGGGGAAGAGAACTGGAAATGAATCACGTGCACAATGCCATCACCTTCATGCATTAATTATAATCATTATTTTTAAATTGAGGGGAGGGAGGGTAAGAGGAAATGGTGTGAAAGAGCGAACTGATAGGGTAACAAGAGGTTCAGTGCTGAGGAAAGAGGACACTCCACTTTTCATAGTTCTTCTCTTGCCACAGCTGGAATTTTGTTAGCCAGTACTGGAGGCTGCTAGACAAGCCAGTGTTGTGGACCTCCTGCAGAGTGACTGGGCAGGAAATAAATGGCTATTCATGTGTAACCCTTTCTTGGGATGAGAGAGGCACGTCTGCAACACGTATTGTACACTGACCTTGTCACACCTTTCCCATGGCTTGGATTGCACTCCTATGAGCATTCAGTGAGCAGTGCAGTACTTTGTTCTGTCCATACAAGGCTGTCCTGTGCTGACAGTCCTCACTCCAGCTGTTGCCTGTGAAGCGTTGCAAAACTATTGTATTTCCCATCGCATCACTATTGGAAGGGTTAACTCTGAGGGCTCAGAACTCCTCAGTTTAAAGGCTGAGAAGGAGGGGAAAAAGAGGAAGGTTTTTTTTTTCTGTGTTGCTTTAATTACAAATTCTAGACAAAAAAATTTTAGACCTACCCTTTTGTTCTTTTCAGTGAAACCAACTGATAGATTCATAAGCATAGGGCTAGAAAGGACATCAAGAGAACTTCTAGCCCACTCCGACTCTGAGACAGGACTGAGTATACCAAAAATTTACATGGCTGTTCATCTAACTTGTTCTTAGTGAACTTCATTGATGCAGATCCTGTAGGCTGCTGTAGCCTGTTCCAGTTCCTAGCTAGCCTCCAATTTAGAAAGCTTTTTGTGATATCTAACTTCAGTCTCCCTTGCTATATATTAAGGCAACTGACTACTAATGGTCTTGGTATTGGTAAGCATGGAGAATAATCTATTTGTGTTGTCTTTGTTACAGTCTTCTGCAAATTTGAGGGTGGCAGAAATTCTGTGGGTTTAACCTGCCCTTCCATGTCTCGTTCCTGTACAGATCTTGCATCACATTCACAAGCAGAGGAAATCAGTCCCTCATAAATGCGTTTTCCTGGCTTTCGGTGATTGGACACTCTTTGCCTTGAGAGAAGTGCTTTTAGGCATGGGGGAGATAGGGACTAAATCACTTCAGGGCAGATTCCCTATAAATTGCTTTTTTTTTTCCTTTTCTTTTTTCTTTTTTTTTTCTTTTAAGACAGTGTTGTTCTTAGAAAGGTACTAGACAGATTCTGTCCTGTGCAAGCCTTATGCTGTCATGCCAAAGCAGTTTCTTCCTGGTGGCACAAACAGCAGATTTTCCCATAACTGCCATTACTCTGATGAAGGAGATGGTGTTTGGGAAATGAGCTGACTTCCAGGAAAATTCTAGGTTATTCTAGGTTATCTAAAAATCAGAGAACTGAACTGAATTACTGTAAACATTCCTACATATAGGAGAGGGACCAAGAAGGAGGAAAAGTCAAGAAGGATGAAGAAGGCAGGCGGATCCCAAAGTAAGTTGAGAGTGTTTGCTGTATTTATATGAAGAAATTAGATCCTGGTGCTCAGGAATGAGAAATCAAGATGAGTGCTTCTCTGCTTGTAGGAGATAGAAAATCAGATTTCAGCCTTTTCTGACTGCTGTTCCATTAAATTGTATGAGGCAAGAAGAGCATTCTGGGAGTGTGGCGCAAGAGTCATTGGCAGAGCTGTGTGAAGGTGAGGGAGGTCGTAGGGCAGGAGGATCACTGCCGTTGTGGTATGGAAAGTAGCAGACTGGAATGGGAGAGAAGGGAAGATGTGCAAAGAGTGTAGTCAGGGTAATCATAATGAGCAGACAGAAAATGGGGGAACAAAGGAAGAAATGCATGGCTTAGTATTCCCAGCTTTTCATTCTGAACTTCAGTTTTGCTGCTCAGTCGTGTGCTCATCTGGAGTAAACATGTTGGGTTAAATTATACGTATTGCCAGTCTAAATCAATTCTGCCTACGGGGTACAGTCCTCTCTTTTTGACCCACTCTCTTCTGATTATCAGGCTCTTTTCACATCCTTTGCATGCAAATTCACATCAGTTGTTTCAGGAAGCTGTGACAGAGAACAGATCCAGAAGAATTTTTAGGGTAAAAGACAAGATAGGGCAGAACAAGATGGTGCCCATCTCTATCACTGTCCCGCTTGCTCATGCATACTACTAAGCACATGGTTATGTGTTGTTTCAAACTAACCCATGGTTGGGCACACGCAGGGGAGAAAGAGTTGGAATGTGAGATGCTTGATTTTGTGTTCAGACCTCCCCTTCCCTCACACAGCTGGGTTTGTAAGTAAGTGATGTGTGGGACTAATCTCAGCTGTTTGTTACATGTAAGGTTTACTGATTAATATAATTATTTTACATTTCTTTTAACTGAGTTGTGGCACTTTTGTTTTTGCGCTAGTCCAATATTGTAAAAGGTAGTTGTGGTAATTTTCTTTCTTTTAGTTAGCTTCTTGTAACATAAAGTTCATATTACTTGAGCTAAATCAACCAATCAATAAAGACACATTTGGAAATTAAAGGCTTGATCTAAAATGGGTGATTGTAATGTTTCTCTCCCACATACACAGCTGTGAATAAAGGGCCTATCCAAGAGGGGCAGCTTTATCAGAACTTCCTGTTGCTACTTTTTGCTGGAACTCTGGATTTCTTCTGTCCTGTGTATCATGTGTCACATCTTTTGCTGTTGTATTGTCACGTGCATACACCCTCCTGTATCTTGCCATGCCATTGATGTGAGCTTTAATTGGCCCTGAGTGATATGGGAAGATCTTAAAGAGAGTAGTGGGTGCACTGAGGTACTTTCTGCCATTTTCAAGGCTCTGAACAGTCCTTTCTGCAGGGCTCATGAGCAGTTGTGTTGGGGGAGGCCCTGGGGGGGCTGGGATGAGCCATTAAGGCTTACCAATGCATTCAGGGCTCTGACACCCCCATAGCTATTTCCCATCTAAAAAACATGCTTTCCAGCTCCATAAAGAATGAGAGATGTGAAAGTCTGAGATGCATTTAAACAAAGATGCAACGGCAGCAATCTAGCCTTTTCCTTGCAGATTGGTTGTGTGCTAAGAGAAAAAGAGCCCTGCTGGCCTGTGATAAACCCAACAGGTGCTGCTTACTCTCAGCACAGTAATTCTGGATTAGACATGTAGCACACAAGGGAAAAAGAGATGTTTGTCTTAATCTGTTGGCTCTGCAAGAGAGGGGTGAATGAAGTGCAGCTTCCACCTTGCCCATCGTTCCTTGCAGTGAGGCCAGGCCAAATGGACTGCTGGAGGCCATGTGTTCTGTTGCATCGTTATCCACATGTTCGTGCAGGTGCTGCTGACCAGAATACAGTAAATATGGCGTGTTGATGCTGAAGAGAAATAGCCTTCAGCTCTCTTCTTTCAGTGTGTGGTTTCTGCAGGATGCAAATGAAGAGACTAATATTTCAAGCTCTAAGGTCAAGAACTTTGGCACTGAAACATACAGGAACAAAATGTTCTGGGGCTAATAGTATCTTTTTTGCACACAAGGTGGAGTCAAAGTTTGCAATTTTGTTACTTGTACTGAGGTCTAAGAGTGGCAGTAATTATTCCTGCCCCATGTAAACTTGGGAGCTCACCATAACCGCTGTTTCTGTGCTCACATCCACCATTATGATTATAACAAGTGACAGAATGGTGCTGTGACTAGCAGTCCGGGCAGAGATCAGCTAAAAGCTAAAACCATTAGCTGACCTAATTTTAAATAGCAGCTGTTTTCAGACCTGCATTTTAGCTTCAAGCATAGTGTGCATTTTGCTGACTAGATTATGACCTTCTCTCATGGCTCAAGTAGAAAACCACATGGAGCTGTGGTTTCTCCCTGTCTGGGTTCCCTCCCCCCAACTCCTCTAGAATAACAGTGCATCAATGCTGTTCGTGTGCCTTGTACCTGCCGTACTGCTTGCATGTTTGTGTCAGTGCCATCACTGAGAGAAGTAACAGATGGCCTCGTTTGCTGAATGAGATTTGCCTGGTTCAAATGTGTAATGTTAGCATGTGCTGAAAGGCTGTCAGCTATATTCTCTTGTGTAATGCTAGAAAGGTTATTGAAATTCAGCTGGAGGAAGGTCTGGAGGAAACTAAAGACCAGCTCGTTAAGAGAGGTTAGGTAAATAATATGCTGCCTTGATCAGTATCACTGTACCCACGATCCTCTCTCCAGTGGGCTTGACACTTCATTTGGAAGAAAGGGTTCTTCTGGAGCAGAGAAGGTCAGAGTATCTAAGGAAAATCAAAATGGCCTGAGCCAGGAAGGCCACACAACATCACCTTCTGGTCTTGTATGAAGAAGATCTGGGGCAACATAACAGGTCCTAAATTGTGTTAAAGGGCACTTGCTTTTGCTTCCATAAAACAGACATAACCTAGATTAAACAAACTTTTATTTTTTGAAAACAGAAGGAGGGCTACCAAAAGAAAAAACTCCAGTTCATTCCTGTCACTCAGTCTCTGATAATTGCTTCCCCAGGAGGAGTCAAGAGTGTAAATAGAGAGCTCACTGATGCCAGGGCTCTTGCAGGACTGATCCAGGCAGACCATGGCTGATCATGGACAGCACCTGCCTCAGCTTGAGCTGCTAACCTTTAGGAGGATTTTGTGAGTCCCTTGCAATTTATGTTCCTGGAAACTTGCATAAGTCTTAAAGCACAGCTCATGCCTGGAAACACGTGTTACAGGAATTGGTTAATATTTCCCTGAAAAAAATGGATCTTGCAGCATCTTTGTAAAATGAAGATCTGCTTCTCCCTGATCTTGCACTCTGGCCAGGCATTGTCATCTGGATTTTGTACTGTTCTTTGGGAATTAGACGATAGTTAGTAAATGGTGTACATAATGACATGTTGTAGCAGCAGCAGAACACTAAGATCACATTTTCAAATGAGACAATTGCTAGAACTGCAAACGATTGAATATGTTGGACTGTTGGCTAAAGGAAAAAACTGACGTGATCCACCTCCTGTCTACTTATTTTTACTTTTGCACTGCTTAGAGTCTTCTTTGTCAGAGCCAGGACCCTATTTTGTTGTTTTGCCAGAAATCCTCTCTGGTCTTTTGGGCAATCTCCTGCAGTGTTCGCACACCCCTCAGGAACCTGGAGAGCTTCTAGGACGAAGCAGTCCCTGTTACCTATAGCAAGACATTCTCCTGGCTCATGCTGTACCTTACCATCCTTGAGCCAATTCATATTACTATTTTGGTCTATATCCCTTCTCCCCTTTGCTAGCTTGCTACTTGGCTCCTTTGAAATAGTCTTCCATGCAGTAGCATTCCTTTAGGTCAATGAATATAAATCTCTGGTGTTTTCAGAGGATGTAACTTTTTGTTATATATTGGGACAAAAGCATCCCCATTCAGTGATCCCAGCATGTGCAGCCCCTACATGGCATGTCACACAACTGCCATCAAATCTGCAGTCTTTTTCCTTCCTACTGGAAACATGGCTTTGCTCTTCCACCACTGCTCAGTGCTATGGATGCTGTTCAGAGGAACTGACAAAGGGAGCTATCTTAGAAGTACAGAGGGTCCTCAGGGGGGTGGCAACTGAAAGGGGAACTTGAGACTGTCTCCTAATATGTCAGAGAGATCACAAATTGATGGTATACATCCTTTTCCAGACACAGAGTCTCCCCTCCTTGAACTAAACCCTTTTCTCCCAACATCCTCTTATTCCTCTAGTAGCACCTGCCTTTTCTTCCCTAAGGGTGCAGCAAGATTAGTAGGAAGAGAGAGCTTTCTTTACCTTTGATGTCCTTGCCTACCCAGCCGCCTTCTCTCTCATGGGAGGTGATGTAAAGCTGGGATTTGCTCTAATCCAGCAGCATCACTTACCTTCATTACCTGCAGTTAGAAGAGACTTTGTTGCCAAACATACACTGAGCAGGGCTGTGGGAAATGGGGAAAAGAAGATGCAAATTCTTCCCATCAAATAAATAGGCAATCATTGCATATCACTCCCTCAAGAAATACACACCCATGAACACACTTCCTTGACCCCACATACACTACATCCTGTACCTCATGCTGGAAATACCACTCCATGCTCATCACAGACATGGCTTGTGCACACACATACATGTCTGCTGCCATGCCTTACACGACATGAAACACACATGCATCTTCATCAGCTGCACTGACCCCATTATGAGCATTACCATGCAAACACCCATTGTGTGTCTTCAGCCATACCCTATGCTGTAATGAACATGCATGCATTCCCATGATACACTGTCAAAAAACACATACTTCCTTCACCAAGCCCTGCATCACAGCAAATACACAGTGCATGCCTTTTCGACAGTGTTCACCTGTAGCAGAGGTAAGCAGAAAGGATCTAATGGAGAGAGTGATATACACTACACACAGTATAGTTCAACTTGTCACACAGATAGCACATTTGAAAAACACTGTCAAAAGGAAAGGAAAAGGAAGATGGAGGCACACAGAATGTAACACATGCATGCTTGGAGCACAGCCACTCTAGGAAAGTGTAGCATATCCAGGGACACAAGAGAGAAATATAACAAACTGTACTACATACCTTTGTGCACAGGCTTCCATCCAGCCCTTAGGATGATGGACAAACATACATTGTACACAAACATGTATTCAACACAGCTGGGGCCAACAACCATGCGGCAAAAGAGACCTTGAGAAGTAGAAATCAGTAGGGAAACACAGAAAGGCAAAAAATGCATAATGTAATACACAGTTGCAGGCTGCTGGTAGTTGCAGGAAAGTGTGCAAGAGAAAAGAGTGTGAAAGGAATGTGGAAAGCTCAGAAAATGTACCTGAAATCCACAACTACCATACACCTGCATCTTACCTATGGAGTGCAAGGGATACCAAAGAAACACTAATTCATAGGAAATCTTGTAGGAAAGGAACCCACTAACTGCAGCCGTACTTTAGAGGTGAAGAAACAGTGGTTCCTCTTTCCTCCATCCTTTGCAATTGAAGGTAAAAATTAGAGGGCTAGAAAAGCAGAACACTTCTGATTGAGACTGGGGTGGATTGGGAGAATAGGAGGGAGGCAGAAATGGAGTAGTGGCCATTCGCAGAGTGCAGATGGAGGTTATATCATGGCAGAGCAAGGTGTAGGAGGAGAGTGAGAACAGACTAGTGCAAGGGCTACAGGATATAAATGAAAGGAGTTGGCAGAATTGTGTGGAGTAGCACAGTGGCTGCAGGGCAGGAGTGAAAAGGCACAGACAGCTCAAACTGACACCAAAAGGTATTGCAGTAGAAGCTCCTAGATGAGATTTATAGTGGCTCCAAAAGGATCTGCACGTGCAGATTGCTGTGACTACTAGTGAAATTGCAATTGTGCATAGATCTCATTCACAAAGCTGAGTATCTGGTGAAGCTCTGGTAATTTACCTATATATCTCTCTAATTAGTCCTTGTGTGCATTGTCATTACTATAGCCACCTGTGCTCCTTAGAACCTTTGTGTTACCCCAGGGCTATCATTCTGTTTGACAGTGGGGAGACAAGGTACAGAGCGACTAAATGACTTGCCTGACATTGCACAGGGAGTCCCTGGCGGGGCGAAGAAATGAATACCCATAATAGTGATGGTCCCTTTTTCAGCAAACAGGTATTCTGGGACCAGGAGCAAAATAATCATATCATCAAAAAAGCGATATCACCATTTAGATAAGAAGGGTGATAGTGCTGAAGATTTAGGAGACGAACCTTTAGAAGACAATGAGAAATCAAGGCTTTTAGAATGAGTGCAGCAGTACACATAGAACCAAAAAAGGCAGAATTCAAGCTGTAATACAGTATTTAAGAATGTATATAAAAAGATGGAGAAAATGCTCACATAGACCAGAAATTTGAAATAAGTATTCTTCACTTTTGCTGTGATTATTCAGAGGTAAGATTAGAACATTTCATTCACAATTAATTCGGTCCGGGGCATGCAATAGCAAAATGAGCAGTGAGGGGTCTAATCGTATTTATATCTTACTAAATTTGTATAGCAAGTTCTATATGACAGTCTCAGTCATTTCACAAATACTGATCTACTTGGCCTAACAACAACCTGATGAGGTATCTATTATTGTTTCTAACCTGCAGCTGGGGAAAGTGCAGAACAGAAATGTGAACTGGCTTGCCTCTAGACCACGCAACAAATAGTAATAAAGACAGAAAAAAAGCCTTGTACCCTGATCTCTGGCACACCTAGTAATAGCATTATACTCAGTAGATGAAATCCGGCTTCTGTGGTCAGAAGCCAGATGTACATGTGACCATGAGATGGTGCAGTTCAGGATCCTGTGAGGAAGAAACAGGGCAATAAGTAGGATTACAGCCTTGAACTTCAGAAGAGCTAACTTTGGCCTCTTCAGGGAACTTCCTGGAAGAATCCTATGGGCCCAAGAAGGAAAGGGGGTCTGAGAGAGCTGGTTAATTCTGAAGGATCACTCCCTGCAAGCTCAAGAACAATGTATCCCAAAGAGGAAGAAGTCCAGCAAAGGGGGCAGGAGACCTGCATGGATGAACAAGGAGCTCCTGGCAAAACTCAAACAGAAGAAGGAAGTCTACAGAAGGTGGAAGCACAGACCGGCCACTTGGGAGGAATATAGGAACATTGTCAGAGTATGCAGGGATGTGACGAGGAAGGCTAAGGCCCATTTGGAGTTTAATCTGGCAATGGATGTTAAGGACAACAAGAAGGGCTTCTTCAAATGCATCAGCAACAAAAGGTAGGCTAGGGAAAATGTGGGCCTGCTGCTCAATGGGGCAGGACCCTGGTTAACAAAGGATAGAGGGAAGGCAGAGATACTGAATCACAGAATCACAGAACAGTTGAGGTTACAAGGGACCTCTGGAGATCATCCAGTCCAGCCCCGCCCTGCTCAAGCAGGGTCATCTACAACATATGCAACAGGGTCGCATCCAGGTGGGTTTTGAATATCTCCAGCAAGGGAGACTCCACAACCTCTCTGGGCAACCTGGTCCAGGGCTCAGTCACCCTCACAGGGAAGAAGTTTTTCCTCATGTTCAGATGGAACTTCCTGTGGTTCAGTTTATGCCTGTTGCCTCTTGTCCTGTCACTGGGCGCCACGGAGAAGAGTCTGGCCCCATCCTCTTGACACCCCTCCTTCACATACTTGTACACATTTTGATCAGATTGCCTCTCAGTCCTCTCTTCTCCAGGCTGAAGAGGCCCAGCTCTCGCAGGCTTTCCTCATAGGAGAGATGCTCCAGTCCCCTCATCGTCTTTGTAGCCCTCCGCTGGACTCTCTCCAGTAGCACCATGTCTCTCTTGTACTGGGCAGCCCAGAACTGGACACAGTACTCCAGGTGAGGCCTCCCCAGGGCTGAGGAGAGGGGCAGGATCACCTCCCTCGACCTGCTGGCAACACTCTGCCTACCGCACCCCAGGATACCCTTGGCTCTCCTGGCCACAAGGGCACATTGAGCAGGGCGGGGCTGGACTGGATGATCTCCAGAGGTCCCTTGTAACCTCAACTGTCCTGTGATTCTGTGATGAATTGATCAGGGAGTAGCTCTTCAGAGAAGGACCCAGGTACTGGAGTTACAGGAACAGGTCAGGGAGGACACAGTGTCCTTGAGGCAGTACCACACACGAGACTGTATCATTCAGAACTGAGCTGGTAGGGTCAAGTGAAGGATTATTCCCTTCTTATTCCCTTCTGTTCAGCACTGAGAAAGCTGTAACTGCAGACTAGAAACACTTCGTCCAGGACAAGGAAGAAGTCATCAAATTGGAGCGACAGGAGCAAGCACAAGTTACTCTTCCCTCCCACCCTCCCCACATTTTTGGGGCTGGGGGCTCTCACTTTAAACCAGGGATGGTAATCTTGGATCACCCTGATTGGGTGGAGACCCTGGAGCCAATTCCCATGGCATTGGGTCTCCCACTGGTGCACCAGCCAGCTAGCACAAGAGAATAAGGCACAAAGCTGTGCTCAGTATGTGGATGTTCATTTAATCTCACGGTCTGCAAGGCTGGGGCAGGCAAAAGGCAGGATATATCCTTTTCCTGAGATCCTCAGGACAGAGTAAGGGTTGGTGGAGGCACTGATTCTCCCCACCCTCCTACTTGCTACCAGTCCACCCCCCTGGCATGGGTAATGGGCAGCTGGATAAATCCAGCCAGGGCAGAGAGAGAAATCCTTACTGAGAGGAGCAGGGCAGCCCTGGGATGTTGTGTGTGATTGCGTGGTGGTATCCAACTGATATGACTTTACAAAGTGCCCTGGCCCAGGCACCTGAGCAACCTGCAATAGTCTGGGACCAATCCTGCCCCAAGGAGAAACGAGACTGGGGACACTGTGGGAGGTTATATGTCTGCAAAAGCCACAGGGAAAACAGGACACAGTGGTGGAAGATCCAGGTTTATTTGCAGTGCACCAGGGAGAAGACATGGGGTCTTTGCGTTCTTTAAGCAAAATTCTTCAATGACCAGGAAGATTTGGCATGATGGGGGAAATCAGCAGGTGTGAAACTTCTCAGGAGTCCTATTAATGAGGGAGAAGGAGGAAAAGAAAGAACAGTGACACATGAGGACTCCCCTTCTCCCAAACCCTCCCCTGCACCAGGCAGTAGAGACAGCTCAGGCCTAGGGCTTGAACGGCTCCTGCTTTTCTCCCCACCTTGGGAGCCCAGGAAAGGGTCAATAGCCTGTCAGCTCCCATTGTGATGGAGCTCCTGACCTGCTGCAATACTCACATAAATGACTAGAAGCCATTCTGCAGGGGAGAGAAAAATGTGTAAGTGCTGAAAACACTGGGTAGGGAGAAGTGTTCAAGGTAAGTCCTGTCTGGCTGTGCAGGAATAACTCCCCTCACCCCTCCCTCAGCCCAGATAGATTATGTCCTTTCCAGAACATCAGGGCACCCAGCGGCAGTGGCTTCATTAGCAAGAGCAGATCTGACAGGGCCAAGGGAAGGATTATTTCCCTCTTCTGCACTGGGGAGGCAACAGTTAGAACCTGGATAACCCTGAGCCCCCAAGACAAACAAGATGTCACTAAACTAAGGAAAGCCTAGCAGAGGCCATGGAAATGGTGGCATCATGAGCTGCGTGTTGAGACCCTTCACCTTCCACAACCCAAAAAATTCCTGCTAAAGCCACATCCCCTTCTTTTACAATGCTACCATTACCCGGCCACCTTTGTTTCCTGTACTCCTGGTATCAACTACTTCACGCTACCCCTAATCCGAACTGGCCCCATTATCACCAATTCCCAGAGATTTTGCTGCCATGAATCCCTGAACCCCTGCCTTCATTGCAAATTCCCTCCCAGTTCCCAGGGTCCTAATAGAGCCCTAAAGGTGAATGAGGTCAGTCACCTGGTAAAGGATGAGGTCATCCCTCAGCCCTAACTCCCTACCACGGACTGGAGAGAGCACAGAGAAAGCAAGTACTCAGGTAATGACCAGCAGATAAAAGGCTAGGATGGAGGGGAAATGATACTGTGAAAGAAGGCCAAATCTTTTGCTGTGGGGTGGGGCAGACCTAGCACAGGGCCCAGGGAATAGGTTTTTTTCAGTCCAGCAGGACTTTCCAAACTGCCCTGGCCCAGGCCCTGAGCAACCTGCTCCAGGGTTGGGGCAAGCCCAGCGGAGGAGTTGTTCAGTCTCCTGAACAGAGAGGAGACTGGATATTCGGGGTGGGGGAGGAGGGGATCCCATCCCCCCATCAACGCCACCTCAGTAACCCCAAGGAGGGCCTCAATCCTTACCCCATTGTCATTGAAGCTGTGGTGGCCAACCCAGTTCCCATCAAAGCTCTCTTGGTTCTGCAATGAAAACGCTGCTATAGCAGGGCTGCCTGGGGAGTCCTGGTGCCCCTTGTCCTGAGGTCCTGAGTGATACATGGAAGGGACACCCCAGGCGCCCTGTGTGGGGTGGGAAGGGCCAACATCTCCCACTCACTACACTCCAGCCTCTCCCAGATTGTCCAGGGCCCTGAGCTTGCAGTAGAGGAAGGAGCCCAGGTCATGTGGAGTTCATCTCCAGGTGGAGCCATTTTGAGGAGGAAAAGGATAAACCCTGGGGACAGGGGCTGGAGCAGGACAGGGATGGATGGTCCCAAGACCTCCCCCCGCCACACACACATCTTTCCCACACCCTCTCCAGCCCAAGGCAGCAGATAGGGCTCAGGCCTAGGGCTGGTTCCTCGGGGAAGGGATGGCTCCTGATTTCCTTCCTGTTCAGGAGCCCAGGGAAAGGGGGACTGCCTGTTAGCTCCTGTTGTGATGGAGGTCCTAGTCTCTTGCAATACTCACATAGATGACAGGGGGCTCAAGGCCATTCTGCAGGGGAGAGAGAGGTGTGTGAGTGCTTAGAGAGCTCGAAGGGGGCAGGAACCCCTGGAAGCACAGGGTCCAGCCATGCAGTGAGTAGTACCCAGCCCCAAGGTGAGGCAGGTGAGGCCCTTTCCAGAACCTCAGCACCCTCTCAGGCAGCAATGCCCTCTGGAGCAGTGACCCACTCCACTGCAGGCTGCATTAGCAAGAGTAGAGTTGATGGGGACAGGGAAGGGATTGTTCCCCTCTGTTCAGTGCTGAGGAGGCCAGAGCTTGAGACTGTGACCAGTTTGGGCTTGCAGGACAAAGGGGATGTCACCAGTCTGGTGTGGATGCAGTGGGGGCTTGATCCAAGCTCTAAGACTCACAAAGTCCTCCCTAAGCCACATCCCTCTCCCCTATGTCCTAGTGTTACCCAATGTTCCCCATCATCCCATTACCTTTAGTGCCTCCCATCTCCCTTTGTTCATCTCTCCACAATGACCTTTTTTCATGTTTCTCACCTCTTCAGTCCTGTGCTCCCCAATTTCCCTGTTGTCATGCCACCCTCAATTTTATCTTGCCTACTACTTCTCCCATCTTCCCTTGCCCACCAGTTCCTAGTGTCCCACAGTACTCATATCCTGGTTCCTCATTTTCCAGTGTCCCCCAGGGTCCCCCATATCCCACTGCCTCCCAATCCCCAGTGCCCCCTTAGCTCTCCAGTGTTCCCCATGTCTTGGACTCCAATTTCCTGCATCTTATACCACCAACAAACTCCTGGCATCTCATGGTGTTTTCCATCACCCGGATATCCCGTCTGCCACTGAACACAGGAGTACCCACACCCTAGACATCCCTGGCCTTGCCTGTTGCCTCTCAGTTCCACCCATCTCCCACTTCATCTCAATTTCCAGTGTCTTCAGAGCCCTCAAGGTGAAAGGGGAGTGGGGTCAATCTCAGCCTCCCATTCTCCAAAGGGGACTGAGGAGGGCACAGAGACAGACTCTTCTTGGAAGTGCTCAGTAAAGCACCAAGAGGCAACAGGCACAAGCAGGGATGATGGTGGTTGTGGTGGGGGAATCGCCCTTTGAAAAAAGGCCAAATCTTTTGCTGTGGGGTGGGGCAGACCTAGCACAGGGCCCAGGGAATAGGTTTTTTTCAGTCCAGCAGGACTTTCCAAACTGCCCTGGCCCAGGCCCTGAGCAACCTGCTCCAGGGTTGGGGCAAGCCCAGCGGAGGAGTTGTTCAGTCTCCTGAACAGAGAGGAGACTGGATATTCGGGGTGGGGGAGGAGGGGATCCCATCCCCCCATCAACGCCACCTCAGTAACCCCAAGGAGGGCCTCAATCCTTACCCCATTGTCATTGAAGCTGTGCTGGCCGACCCTGTTCCCATCAAAGCTCTCTTGGTTCTGCAATGAAAACGCTGCTATAGCAGGGCTGCCTGGGGAGTCCTGGTGCCCCTTGTCCTGAGGTCCTGAGTGATACATGGAAGGCCCCAGGGTTGGGGCAAGCCCTGTCCTGAACAGAGGGGAGACTGGATATTCGGGTTGGGGGGGGGAGGGGATCCCATCCCCCCATCAACGCCACCTCAGTAACCCCAAGGAGGGCCTCAATCCTTACCCCATTGTCATTGAAGCTGTGCTGGCCGACCCTGTTCCCATCAAAGCTCTCTTGGTTCTGCAATGAAAACGCTGCTATAGCAGGGCTGCCTGGGGAGTCCTGGTGCCCCTTGTCCTGAGGTCCTGAGTGATACATGGAAGGGACACCCCAGGCGCCCTGTGTGGGGTGGGAAGGGGAGAAGGGCTGCTTCAGGGTGGAAATACTCACCCCTGGGGCATCCACGGGGTCCTGGAAAACAGAGCATGTAAATGCTTAGAGGGTTTCTTTTGGGCCTCCTGGGACCATAATAGTGGATATTTCTGGAACCTGCCTCCTCCCAAAGTTTTCTCGGTTTAGCCACCATTTTACCCCCTACCTTACCTACCTCCTCCACCTGTGTCTCTGATACAAGCCCTATCTGCCCTCTGTGTTCTGCTCTAGATCCATCCAGACTCACCCCATTGTTGTTGAAGCTGCCATCCCCGGCCACATTATCATCAAAGCTGTGTGAATTCTGCAAGAAACATACACAGACTATTACTGTAGACTTGCCATGACTGAGGATGGGGGATGGAGGGGAGGCATATGTGGAAAAGAGGATCAGTTCAGCATTTCCCCTCCATCTGGCACTAAGCTGGTAGCAGGAAGAAGAGTGTGCCTCTGGTGCCCCTAGTTCTGGCACCCTCTGCAGTTATATGCAGGACAGTCCCAATCCTTTGTCCATATCTCTCTCATGGCCCCTTTGCGGGGACACTAAAGATCCCCATACATTCTAAATCACCCATCCCCTCCAGTTTGTCCTACCAGGGGAGCTGCCTGAGTGCCTCCCAGCAGCAGGAGACAAACGGCCAGGAATGCAACACAGATCCGTCTCTCCATGGCTTCTTCCTTGCCACAGGGTACTCTGTCCTTCAGACTGGGGCTGTTCACGATGCAAAGACTGGGGCTGGATTTATAGGGCACAGCCACATTTTGCCACATCAGCCCTGTCTGAGCCAGCCCTGATATCCTGACCCAGCCCATGGCTTTCCTGGTATCACATGTCTCCGCCTTGGTTTATCACTGCAACCTAATCTATCTCCGCCACTCCCTTTTGTGGGATCAGAACTTCATTTTATTTTTTTTGGGAGGGACCTCAGGAGTCTCCAGTCTAACTTCCATCTTAGATCTATCTTCAGTATTACACCACTTTGCTCAAGTTCCGGGCCAGGGCAGCTGGGAAAGTATCCTCAGATGCAGAAGCAGCCCCTGGTCCTGACCAGCTCAGGCCCTGACCCAGGGCTGCCTCACTCCTCTGGCAAAGGATTTGTGCCCCGGCCCCAGCAGGTTTTCCCCATCTCAACTTCTGCCTATCGCCTTTCCATCCTTTTCTGGGCACCTCTGAGGAGAGTCAGTCTCTAACCTCTCTCCAGCTCCCTTTGGGGAGTAGGAGGCTGGAGCTGACCCTTCTTTGCCTTCTTGTCTCCTGACTGGACAAACCTAGGACCCGCCACCGCTCCCCACCCGCCCTGTGCTCCAGCTCCCACCATCTCCAAGGCCTCCACTGGACAACACCCTCTTCCTAGGGCCACAAACTGGCTCCAGTGCACAGACATGGCCTCCCCCGTGTGGAGCAGGGGAGGAATAATCCCTCTCCTGGCCCTGCCAGCTCCATTCTGTCTAGCAGAGCCCAAGGTGTGGTGGGTCATTGCTCCAGGGCACCTTGCTGACTTAGGGTAGCGTGTTGTCCCCCTGACACCAGGAACCTCTCTGCAGTGGTGTTCCCTGGTTGTTTGGTTTCAATAGGTCTTCCCAGGCTTAAGATGAACCAACACATCCAGCTTCAGCCCTAGCCTTGTCCACATTTGTAAAATGTCTACTTGGTGCCATATTTCTCCCAAGGTTCCTTATTTTGGGAGGAAGCCAGAGAATGACTTTCAAACAACCTTGGTTCTGGCAAAGGCCATTGCCAGCTCTGACCTTCCCCAACCTTTCTGAGCAGGAAGCTCAGATATAACAAAATGAACCTGGCACTTATTCCTGGGTAGTTAATTGGAGCAGAGACTGCCCTATGGCCTCCTCCCATGCAGGACTGGCAAATATTTGCAGAAAAAAAATCTCTCTGATAAATATTTTCCAATAATCACAGAACAAGACGCCTATTCAGAGAGCAGACTGCACCCAGAATGGTCCAGAGGCCTCGTGGTGATAGAAATGTTTCTGAAGTGGGTCACTTGGTTTCAGAAGTTTGCAGCTTTCTATCCCACCATCCCCTGCACTGTGCCAGGCTAAGAACAGCATTACATGGAGCTGTTCAGAAGAGAAGGACCCAGGTGTCGGGGGGACAACACGCTACCCTAAGTCAGCAAGGTGCCCTGGAGCAATGACCCACCACACCTTGGGCTCTGCTAGACAGAATGGAGCTGGCAGGGCCAGGAGAGGGATTATTCCTCCCCTGCTCCACACAGGGGAGGCCATGTCTAGGAACCAACCCCCCTAGGAAGAGGGTGTTGTCCAGTGGAGGCCTTGGAGATGGTGGGAGCTGGAGCACAGGGCGGGTGGGGAGCGGTGGCGGGTCCTAGGTTTGTCCAGTCAGGAGACAAGAAGGCAAAGAAGGGTCAGCTCCAGCCTCCTACTCCCCAAAGGGAGCTGGAGAGAGGTTAGAGACTGACTCTCCTCAGAGGTGCCGGGCACAAATCTTTTGCCAGAGGAGTGAGGCATCCCTGGGTCAGGGCCTGAGCTGGTCAGGACCAGGGGCTGCTTCTGCATCTGAGGATACTTTCCCAGCTGCCCTGGCCCAGGATCTGAGTGACCTGCTCCAGCTTTGTATCCAACCCTGCCCTGGACTGAGGGCCGACTGGAAACGCCTGGGTGTCCTGCTTTCCAAATATCTCCGTGAATCTGTGGATTATTCCCAAACAACTCTCAAGAAAAATGGGAGAAGTTTGGATGAGAGGTTCTTTGTGATACTTACATAGACTGCTCCATATCCATTATAGTTCTGCCAAGAAAGACCAAGATGTGTTAATTCTGTCTGGTGGTGGAAGGAAGGGAGAAAAAAGTCTCTGTTTGTGGAAAGAAGGTGCCCTCTATCCCTTTTTTCTAGTCAGACCGTTTCATGGCTCAGGTGTTACTTCAGCCTTGTTGAAACAAATTCTGGGGTTCTTAAAAAAAAACCTATGAGTTCAAAGAGATGCTGATGGAGACTAATCACAAGGTTTTCCAGTCTCAGATCAGGGCCCTGGGATTTGCACCATCTCAATGCCCCCAAGCCTTGTCTTATGCCCAGTGCTGCTTACTTTATCTTGCAGAAGAGCTCAGCTCCCTTTCAGCAATTGAGACTGTACTCTGGTACAGACCTGTACAACCCAGCCTGGCTTCCCCTTCTCCTTCCCATAGACCCTGGGTCAGGATGAGATGGTTGCCCTTTCTATGCCTTTAGGGCAGGAGGTGGAACAAAAGTCCTGAATCTCCCCCAAATGCCACTTACATCTTGGTCATTCAAAGCGTTGTTACCCACGATCCTGCCATTGAACCTGCCTTTGACCTGGGAAGAAAAATTGATGTCACCCCTCACCCAGGGTGAGGCAGTGGACACTGTACCCCTGCTAAGTGCACATGTTCAGCTATCAGGCCAAACCTCTGCCCACAAAAGTCCAGCCTGCGAATTAACTGTTCTATAGCCATGTCACTAGGATATAGAGCCCAGAGAGCTTCCACCAGAGAGGGGGAGGTCAAAATCCCCTGGAGATTAATCCCATAATCCTTCTGGGAAATAATCTCATAATTCTTCTGGAATTAATGCCATTATGCTAATGAGAATAATTATGTAATCCTATTAAGGATTAATACCATAATCATCCTGGGGTTATTCCCGTAAACTCAGTGAAGATTAATCCTGGAATACCATTTGGGATTAATTTTGAAATACCATTTGGGATTGACCCTAAACTACAATAGGGATTGAATTGGTAATGGCAATAGGATTAAACCCATAATACAAATTCTATTTATCCCATAATACCAGTGTGGAATAATCCCATAATCCTCTCTTGGCAGGGAGCTGAAAATAATCCAAAGACAAAGACCATTGACATTTTTCCCTTTGGGAATAACCAGGGCTGGCAGTAGGGTGATCCAGCATGCCTGAGCCTTTTTGTACCATTTTGCACAGCAGATGCAAGTAGTAAGACTTTCTGCCCACAGTCCCACTTAAAATACAGGAGTGCTTCTCAGAAAACCCAGGTATCCAGACTCCCAGGCCACAGCCCAGACCAGATGGACACCTAATGCTTTGGCTGTGATCTGAAGTGTTCCCAGTGGGCTCAGGACAGAGCCAGCCAAGAGCACTAGGGGTTTCAAAGCAGTATAGGTATCCTCATCCTTTCCTGTCACCTCCTCCACACACATACCCATCCACTCACTGCATCTCTGCACCCAGACACCCTCACAGCCCTAGAACACAGCCTTTATGTTTGACTTCCTGGATATTTCTGGGATCAGGACATACCATTTAGAATTTTGTTGCGTATCTCAGGCTCCCCCTGCCCCAGCTCATGTCCCCAGCTTTGGTCCAGCCTTGCCGTAAGCAGAGGTGAGACTGGGATACATGGGATCCATGGGATCTCCCTCCCAAGCTCCCAGGTTGCTCTGTGCCTATGGTGTGTATCTCAGCACAGTTTCTTTACTCTTTCCACATTCCCCAGGGACAGACACCCACTCCAGCCTGCCTCACCACTGCCCTGGGCCGTGTGTGTTTTAACCTGGGCTTGGTGGAAAGGCTCTGGCTTCAGTTCATGCCCATTTCCAGAGCTCTGGGCCTGGTAGGAGGAAGGGACAAGTTTGCTCCTCAGCATGAAAAGAATGTGGAATGTGGGTTCAAATCCCACAGCAACTCTGAAGAGGAACACAGGGAGCAAGGAGAGCAAAGAAGCACCCACCAACCCAAGGAGCTGAGAGGCCCCACAGCTGCATTTTGGCTGACCAGTCACCTTTCCAGTCCCTCCATTGTTCTGAAAGCTGTCTGATGCACCATGATTCCCAATGAAGCTGTTGTCCTGCAAGGAAAAGGGCAATGGGGGATGTTCAATGCTCCCCTGGGCTTTGGGGGATCTTGACCTTTCCCCAGACCCACTGCTCACATGATATGCACCAGATTACAGAGCCAGTCAGCAGGGACACATGGAGGTAGAATTTGACTGTCCCCAGGACTTGGTGTCCCCATGATGTGTGTGAAACTTCCCTGGACCCCTCTCCAGGGACTCCAGAGATCAGTAGGGATGCCAGACACCTCCTGTGGTACAGTCCTCAGATGCTCCCTGAGTAAATCCCTGACTAGCAGAGGAGCCCCTGGTAGGCTGCAGACTGGTGGCTCTCCCCTCCCAAGTGAATTTCTGGGAGCATGAGATGTTTTGACTTGAGCCTTAGGTTCCCAAATCACCAAGGAAACTCCTAAATCACTTTAAAAAGGTCTTTGAGCCTAGCAACACACCCTGAAAGAGGCAGATTGTTGTTTGGGGGGATTTTTAATGTTGTCCTGCAGGTACAGGCCTGAGTCACAAGGTTCTAAAACGCTTTGATATTTGGTAACTCTCCTGGTGGGCTACAGGGCACCTTTGTGCATGTGTTGGAGTCCCCACAGGCAGCTAGAGGAGAGAGGTGTTTGTCTAGGTCCAGGAGGGAAAAAAAATCCTCCCTTATGCCCAGGAACTGCCTAGTATTGGTCAGTTCACTGCCACTATGTCCCAAAAAGAGACCAAAGAGAAGCATAGAGCCCTCCAGACTCTCACCCGTTTGCTGGGGTGTCTCCCATCACCCAGAGAGGGATAGTCAGGGCTGCCGAAATCCTGCAAGAAAGATTGGAGAGTTACCCACCTACATCCCCTTCATTTGCTGCAGCAGTGGGGTGCTGGGGGCAGCTCAGCC